CGAGTCGCTTCCGACCCATAGTGACCCTGAATAGGGTTTCTGAGGAGCAGCTGGTGAGCTTGAACCACCAACCTTGCAGTTCAAACGGTTTGCAGTTTGGCTCATTAACCCACAGCGCCACACCAGGACTGTGGCATTACTCAAATATGCCCTACCTCCTACCTCTCTTCTCTAGTCTTGTTAACAACCAAATATTTCTCAGACTTTTAAGATCTGTGATCACTTTGAAAAACTACATAATGTCATGGTAAAATTCAAAATAACAAACAGATTTAAAGGTAAAAAGATAAAAACACCAATTCGACAAACTCTTATTCCTCGGAGATGTATATAGAGCGCTCTGCCTCCTTTCTCTCCCTCTCACTTTCTTACCCAACTCCCGAAGACACCAACACCCACCTACCCACATATCCACATATCCAAACACATTCCCAGGCCTGAGCAATGACCAGATTCTTGAAATTAGCACAGCCGATGCCTTGTGCCTCAAGGAAGTTTTTTTCTCTCTCTGATAAGGTACCCCAAAATTGCTTATTTTCTGAAAGCCCTTCATATTTCATGTAAAATATAATTGTTGTTGTTAGGTATCATGGGGTCAGTTCCGACTCTCAGTGACCATATGCATAACAGACCAAACACTTGCTGGTCCTGCACCATCCTCACCAATTGTCGTTAAGCTTGAACCTATTGCTGCTGCCACTGTGCCAATCCAACCTGTATCAACTATTACAAACTCTATAAGTCCCTCCTTAACCACATCAGCCGCACAAAAGGACAAACATATTCTTTTGTAGCATACAGTGGTTGGTTCTGTGGCGTATAAGGTCACTATGAATCAATACCGACTCAATGGTACCTAACAAAAAGAATAATAGGCATACAGTGTTGTATACTTATCAGTTAATATAATTCATTTGATTATAGAACTGTCTCTCCAACTTGGGAGGGAATCCTTAAGACAGGAATTTTATCTCCTTTATCTCTGCATCTGAAACCTAGGGAATAGTAGGAGTGAGTTTTAATTTGTTGATCTCCACTACTATTTTGATATATTTATTACCTTGATTAAGTGAGGGCAACTCATGCATCATGCTTAAAATGTAACTGAGTGACATAATAATAATAAATGAAAAGATTTGAGTAGTTTATAGACATAGTTGTAAAAATATGAAGTATACACACTTGTATATCCATCAGTCTAGACTAGTGTGATATGCTATGATGAATAACACAAACACTATCATCCTGGTTTTCTATCTGCCTACTACTCTTTCTTTCCCTACTCAGTTCAACTCTGAAAAATCCTTGCCATCTCCTCTACAGACTTCTTATTTCCTCTTAAGAGCTATGAAAATCCAGCATTTCTACTTACCTCCTGGTGTGGCACTGTATGATAAGCACTCGACTGCAATGTCGGTTTGAATTGCAAGGTCGACAGTTCAAATCCACCAGCCGCTCCACAGAGACCCTATACAGGATCGCTCTGCTTCATAACCAACTCAACGGCACTAAACAACAGCAACATGTGGTGCCACAGGATAAAGCACTGACCTGCAAGTTTGGTTTGAACCACAAAGTCAGCGGTTCAAACTAACCAGCTGATCCTTGGGAATCCTATAAGGGTCACTATGAGTCAAAATTGATTAGACAGCACTTAACAACAACAACAACAATATACTAAGACTGCTATGGTAAATGCCACCAATGTCTTCTATAAGGCCAAATCCAAAGGACACTGTTTACTTATCAAGTTTTCTTGAGTTCCTTCTGCATTTGACACTGTTGGCTATTTTCTTTTAATTTCTCTATTACCGTGGCTTCTGGTTTTCCCAACTCATTAACCATTATTTCTCAGATGCACTGGGAGATCTTCCTCTTTTATCTACAATTAAGCATGGGTTTACTTGAGGCTTTTTAAGTTATTTTTTTCTAACTACATTTCCTGGGTGCTGCCATTAACTTTATCAGTAAATTGAAAGTTACAGGCTCATATCCTCAACTGTTTGTTAGTCCTATATCTTTGGATAATTCATAAGTACCACATAATAATTGTATCAAAATCTAGAGTCATCACCACCCACCTACCCCAAAACTGGTTTGGTTTTTAAATGTTGCATTTTGACTGGTGACTCTTAATTCCCAAATAATTAATATGGTTGTTGTTGTTAAGTGTCACAGAGTCAGTTCTGACTCATAATGATCCTATATAGGGTTTCTGAGGAGTGGCTGGTGAGCTTGAACAGCTGACCTTGCAGTTCAAACAGACCTTGCAGTGCAACACATTAACCCACATGCCACATCAGGACAATACCCCTGAACTCCTCCTTTCTAACTCATACTCAGTTGACATATAAAACTGCTCATTTACTTCTTATCCAGTTTTTAAAATGTCTTCTTCCTATACCCGCTCTTACTGGTGTAGGTCAAGACCCTGGACTATTAAAAAAGCCTGTTAATTGCTTTCCATCAAAATAAGTAATAAATATTTTATGTTGTTGTTGTTGTTGTTGTTATGTGCCGTGGAGTTGGTTCCGACTCATAGCAACCTTGCATAGGGTTTCCGAGGCTGTAAATATATATATATATATATATATACTATACTGAAAATCTGAGTGTGCCACTGCTCTAATTAAAACCTAGTAGCACTGTGGGTTAATGAGCTGAACAGCAAAGTCACTCTGAACCACAATGTCGGCTCACCAGCTGCTCCTTGGAAACCCTATACAGGGTCACTACAGGTTGGAACTTACTCAGCAGTGCTTAACAACAATAACAACAATGCAGCCCAATGCCTAAGAGCAGTCTTCATTCAATTTTGTATTTTGGTCCAGTTTTCACAAACAGAATTACAAGTAGTATTTCATCCTATAATACTAACTAAGATGCACTCAAAAATTTAAAAGATAAAAAGGGGAGGAGAAGAAACAAGAGAAGTCTGGTCACCAGACTTTAAAAAGATTTTCAGAACCAATAATGGACTTTAACTTACAAGTTTAAAAACATTGATCCATAAGCTAAAGCCCTTCCTTCATCACATACCCATCCCCAGCAATTCATTGTGCTCTTTTCATAAATCTAGAAAGGCATTTATTTGGATATGGAGATTTTAATTTGCAAATGCCATTCTATAGAGAATCATAGTAGAAATAAGAAATTAAATGAAAGCTTTAAATTCTTCATCAACTATGGGGAGGTTTACTGTTTTGATGAAAAATGCTCAAAATTAGCAAAGGGACTATCAGTAGAGAGGTTCCAAAGAGGTTTAGTTGCTTCTTCTCGGCTACCACATTCGAGGGGTCATGAGAAATTCAAGGAACAGAAGTGCAATGTAAATTACAACAGATCTCCACATAAATCTGTTGACTAAACAAAAAGCAAGGGAGAAAAAGAGCTTAAGTCTTGGTAGGAAAGATTACAATGTTTGTTTCATATCTAATAATGTCCAACTTGGGACAAGCACTGGCGTAAGTGAAGTCAATTAAAATAAAACCTCAACAAATGGAACACAACATTCTTTAATCAGTGTTAATTTTCCAATGAACTTTCCCAGGAGTTACAAGAGTCCAAATATAGGTATTTTCTGATGCCTAGAACATAAGACTCCTGATGTGACACTGTAGGATCAGCACTGGACTGCGAATCACAAGGTCGGCAGTTCAAACCCACCAGATGCTCCTCGGAAATCCTGTACAGAGTAGCTATGAGTTGGAACCAACTCAACGGCACTTCACGACAACAACAACAAAACATAAGATGGAAATCAGGGACCGTAATATATGAATTATCAAGAAAAGTTCCAATATCAGGAAAGTTTAAGGAAATGTTTTCTTTTCTTATCAGCAGCATAATTCCATTCAGAGGACTGGCTATATCATGCCACTCTCTGCAGTAATTTAAAGTTCTTAATATTTTACCTAATATAAATCCACATTTGAAACTTATTGTTGTTATGTGCCATGGAGTCGGTTCCGACTCATAGTGAACCTGTACAAGGTTTCCAAGTCTGTAAATCTTTACGGGAACAGAAAGCCTCATCTTTCTCCCGCAGAACAGCTGGTAGTTTCGAACTGCTGACCATGAGATTAGCAGCCCAATTTGTAACCACTCAACTTGGAGTTTACTTATTTGGTTGCTTCTCTACTCCCCTCTTGTGCCTGTAGGTTAAGCACTGGTCTGCTAACCTCAAGGTCAGCAGTTCAAACCCACCTGCATCTCCTTGGAAACCCAATACAGGGTCACTGTGAGTTGGAAGTGATGTGACAGAACTTAACAACAACAACAATCTACACTTCAGCATTCAATAATAGAAATACAACTTGAAGAAGAATCCACTCTTTTAGAATGTTTGTTATCTTTAAACAACTTAGTGTGAGGTTGGATAGCATACTTCCTATGCATTTTTCTATTTACATTCTCTTATCTATTGTGCTGGATTAGGTATTACACTGCTAACTGCAAGATCGTGGTTCAAACCCAACAACAGCTCTAAGGGAGAAATCTGAGGATGTCTGCTCCCATAAAGATTTAAATCCTTGGAAACCCCAAGTAGTTCTTGTGTGTCCCATAGAGTTCTTATAAGTTGGAATTAACTCATTGGCTATGAGTTAGGTTTCTTTGTTTTGGGTCCCTACTGAGGACCCTCCTTTCTTCTCTATCTACTTGGCTTTTCTATTTCTCTTGTCATCTGTCCTGGGCCATATACATTACATATCCAAAATGACAGAATTGTTGCCACTCAAGAGTCCTAAAAAAGGTGTCCCCTTTCTATAATTAGTTTCATCCTTCCAATATAGCACTAGAGACACCACTTAAAACGATCCTTAATACAGAGCTCATGTTTCCATGTAATTTTATCTAATTCAATAGTAGGCTTTTTATTATACAGGCACCAAGGTAGCCAGAGTGCCTACTCCCACATGCAATGTGAATTAATAAATCTGTAACGAGTGATCTGTGTAAAAGATGATATTTTCAATCAAGAAAGCCAATGCGATACTCACGGTGAAGGTTGTTGGGGCTGGTTTTCAGCATTTCTTGGTGTTTTGCAGGCAGCAGGCTTCGCCATGTCCCTGACAACACACCTGGGGCGCATGATAGACAGCACAACGCACTATTAATTATAAAAAGTGTAGAACACATCTAGAAATTAAACACGGTACTGAAAATACAATCTAAAGAAAAGTCTTTGTGAGCCCCTTCAATATTAAGTTTGGGGCCCTGGAAAAACACTTAGAGTTGAATGTCTCCAAACCTGGCCTCCAAGAGCTCAAGTGTACCTGAATAAAATCTGTGCTAGCTTCTGTGTTTGATTGTGCTTTTACCATCAATAAAATCAATTCCAGCAGCTTTTTCCATAGCAGAAATACTACTGAAAGCTTTGACATCACCCTCTGAAAACTTAAAATATAAGAGCAGCAATTGTAAGGATAAGTTAAAAGAGGGACAGAATTTTCTGTGGCTTTGGCTGTTTTACCAAAATATATGAACCTTTGTTTCAAATCATTCCTCACCATACAGGTTAATTTCTTTTTGCAAAAAGAGATCTCAAAGCATCCCATTAAGAGATGAGGACGAATGGGAAGTAAATGTTCATATACAAAGCATGTGTATATGTGTACATGTGTGTAAATATGGAATATGTGTGGGGGGTATCTCATAAAACTGAAAAAAACTAGTAAAAGGTATTTGTGTCTTCAGCTGTCTATTATGAAATAAATAAATGTAGAGGGTGGACAATAACAGAGCTCAAGAGAATACACACACCAGGAAGAAATATTCTTACACCCTTGAGTAAATAGGGCTTAAAGAGAATTAGAGGTATCCTAACACAATCCCACTTGAGGCTTATCCAAACAAAACCCAAACCCACTGCCATCCACTCAATTCCAACTCATAGTGAGCCTGTACTGGCATTCTGAGGCTATCAATCTTTATGGGAGCAGAAAGCCTCATCTTCCTCCCAAGGAGCAGCTGGTATGTTTGAACCACCAACCTTGCAGTTACCAGACCAGTGCTTATCCTGTGACGGCTGTGCTTAGATGACCCCAATATACCTTTATCTCAAAAGCTTTAAAATAAATACTGCTTTGAATAGGAAAGCTTTCGTTTTAAACCTGAATCCATATTTCAGGCTTTGCTAAATGGAAACACCCGTATGACGCAGGAGCCTAAAACAAGAATTTGGTTCTAAGAATTTTTAGAGGCTATGTGGAGATTTGGCTACACTTCTAATATGAGGGGGCTTTAAAAGGTTTTTGGAAAAATTCATTATTTTTGAATTTCATTTTTCTATGAACTTGTGAAGCCACTGCATATTTAAGGCTAGTCATGTTACTCCAGAAATGGATCACTCGTGAGTCAGTGATGGGTAAACTTTTTCCCAGAGATAAAAGCTGCATGGCAAAATTCTCCACTTCTGAAAGAAATGATACAGGGAAACGTGGACACGACGCACAAGAACGTGCACACACACACTGCACATTCCAAACAAGGTCAGGAGTAAGACTAAAGAATCAGTAGGTAACATGACGAGAAAAGAAAACTGTGGCATTTCAAAGCTTCAGCACACCTTCCCCCTGGGATAAAAGAAATGTAGCATTTGTCAAGAGCTGATGCTAAACTCTCAATGGATTGGTCAAGATATTTGAATCAAAACACTCATAGGAACCATAAAGCTTTCTGGTTTCGTTCCAGTTCAAGGAGAGGAGGCCACTCACGCATCAGAAGTAAGAGAACATTCAGATAGGTAATTAGGGCGAAATCATATAACAGGACATCTGAAATATGAAATATTAATTTGACTAACACAAAGTGCAATGGCCAGTAAGTTAAGTTTAGTAGCACTGGAAAATCTCTAGCAATTTTCACTGTATTAGAAATAGCACCCATAAAGCATATTTAATATACATGCACTGGTTTATGAAAACATCTATAAAACCACTAACTCTGGGGAAAAAACTGAAGATCTTGAAGAGACCTTCTCTCTTGGTTTCTTTTTCTTTCCCCTAAAGTCAGAAGTATTTATAAAGATTTAAAATCAATCTACCACTTAATTAGATTTTTCCTTAAACATACATTGATGTGATTATTTTTTAATAAGTGAACATATTAGCCAGTATCAAGGGTGGGTTTCTAAATAAAACTTTTTTTTTTTTTTCTTTTCTTTTCTGAGTAATAGGCCAAGTCAATGTAAGAATTTTCTTATTCTAATCTCAAGTACTCAGTGGTTTGGGTTTAGTATTATAAAAGCTCCTTCTGTCTGCATTTGCTACAGAATATTCTGGTATAAACTGCATATGGATTGCTGTACTTTAATGTTTTGTTGAGTTATAAAAATAAAACATACTGATCCTCAAAAATACTATTTTTAGAATTAATTTAAATATACCGAGGAAAGGAAACAGCAGCATAGTTTTGAGGGGATAAAGTATGTTGCAACATACTTTATGGTCTATATTAACATGTATGAGGGGGCTTCAAAAGGTTTTTGGAGAAATGAAATTAAAAGAAAATATTCCTATATGTTCTAATTTTACTTTCTTTTAGTTGAATTATTTTTAGATATAAGAAAAACAAAATAAAATAACCTAAGCTCAGTATAAGACACAGAAAAAATATAATACACTCATAAGACACAAACTTTTGCTAACCGATGTGGATGGACATTTCTTTAAAATTCTAATTTAACTGTTGTGTCTGATATATCAAAATTTGAAGGCATAAACATAATGATTTTGATAATTCTAATGTATGGAAATAGTTTAGCTCCAGCATTTTCCATTACCTACTATGCATTATCATACTTTAAGAAACAATCATATTTCAGTATGTTGCAGGTTTTAAAGGACTGTTTCTACATATGATTACTTTGCTTCTTCAGCCAGATAAAAGGAGATCACAAATACTGCCCCCAAAACTCATTTCCCAGAATTACATTGGAATGAGGGACTAGGAGGTCCAGGGGTTGGACTTCTTATTCCCTTCAACCTCTTTAATTACTGAAAGATTTATCAGACAGTGACTCTTACAGTCTTCAAACTGCATTTGAGCATTCCCTTCTCACTCAAGCATCACTCAAGATTTATGCAAATGAGACATTCTGCAACCACCTCAGGGGATTGCTCCTCCAGACTTCACCCTCAGCTCTGCTGGGTTTTATGAATGACTGCAATCAATGCGATGAATGGCTGCCAACTGCCCACTCAGCCACTTCTACTCTTCCGTGCACATACACACGGGAGAAACTTGAATTGCCACAAGCCTGCAGATGAGACTCTGGTAAGGCTTTCATCTCACCATACAGGAACTAAATGTTCTTCCAGATACTTAGAGTATGTGAATTAAAAATTCTAAATGCCTTCAAAAACACAATTTGCATAATTACTTTCTCTCTTTTGAGTTTCCATTTTGGTGCCTGTAATCACTCCCCTCCCTCTTCCCCCAACTCTCCCCCCCACAAACTATTTTATGCGGCTTTATCTCAATTTGAACTTTATCTTATCGTTTTATCTTTCATGAATAATGTGAGGAAACTAGTCACTAAGCTTCCTACTAGTATATTATGACATTTTTACATTTCTGTGCTCAATGGGGACAATCTCAACCAAACAGGCGGTGAAAGTGTGTTTGTGTTACTCCTCAAGCATTAATACAGTAGCCCACATTTGACAAACTTAGATGTACTCAGGGGTAGTTAAAATAACAAAGTTGACAAAATCAAACATTTTAAAAGTTAGTAATCTTCTGGTGTGTTGATCGTTGATTGTTGTTATTAAATGCTGTCAAGTCCGTTCTGATCCGTAGGACCATGTATAGTGTTTCCGAAAAGTTGCTGGTGGTTTGAACTGCCGACCCTGTGGTTAACAATTCAGTGCTTATCCTATAGCATCACACCAGGATTCTGATCATTGATTAAAAATACGTAAAAATAGACAAGAGCAGACATCTGGTGCTCGCTGTAGCTGGTCATCTTTGCCTCTAAACTGTTAGTGCTTCGAGGCCTTAAATGTGGCATTGGCCACACAAAATATTCAAAATATTTGCAAATTTTCCATTTCCAAACTAATTCTCCCTTCCTAACTACATACGCCAATGTTTTCACTTGGATATCTAATAGACAGCTGCATTAGAGCTTAAGTCCTAAAGCACTAAGTTTCTGGAAGGATGCAGTATACAAGAAAACTCCTAAGTCCCTTAGAGCCTTGACACAAATTCAGACCTCGTTTGTGTTCTTTCTGACCATTCACCAGCAATGTGGCAGTTTTGTCCCCAGGAAGAATGTGTTTGAAAGCAGACTATAATTTCTAAACCAGTCTCAGTATGGCTAGTTTTGCTCTCATGCATGCACAGAGAATCAGGGGGCAAGTTCATAATGATTTATCAAAAATGGCCTCATATTATTTATAAGTTTGGGTCAGGCAAATATGATCATGAGTCATACCACAACCACCCTGCAGCACCAGAACCAACTCTGTACGTTTTCTAAATCAGCAATTGTGTATATGCCCCAATCATAGTCCTTTCCCTATTTCTGTAGCCCCTTCTGTGACAGTGATGAATTGACTTTGTTGTTAATAGGGTCACTATGAGTCAGTATCAACTTGATGGCACCTAACAACAACAATAATAACAATCATAATTTTTGTGCTGATTATCTTTGCTTTCCGTCATCTATAATTAGCCCATGACCTTCAATCATTGGACACCATTTTGGCCTCATGTTGATGGTTTCCCTCATTCTGGAATGATTCTGTTTAACTTGTCTTTTTTTCCTATTTAAGGCTTAATTAAAGGGTCTTTATAGACTGTTTGAATTGGGGGTCTTTTATCTTTAGAACACCTTTCAAAATTAACATTTTCAAAATGGAACTCTTCATCTTCTTCCCCCAAACCTGATCGTCCAGCAGTTATTTCCAACCTGGTTGATACAATTCCAATTTTCAAGCTGGTCAAACCATAAACTTTAGACCTAACTCCTCTCTTTCTCACACCTTACCATATCTCTTCTACCACATTGCCTCTAATTTCAAAGTATGTGCAGAATCTGACCATTTTTTGCTGCTACACTATTTCCGCCTGGCCA